CCACTGCACTCCAGTCTGGGCGACAGAGTGAGACTCCAACTCAAAAAAAAAAAAGTATTTGACTACATGATTTTTAATTGATCTATTCTAACAAATGGATTTATCATAATTTATTCATCCATCTGGACCAGGTGTGGTGGCTCATACCTGTAATGCCTTTTTTTTTTGGGGGGGAGGCAAGAGAATTGCCTGAGCCCAGGGGTTTGAGACCAACTGGGGCAACTTGGCAAGACCTCATCTCTACAATAAATAGAAAGAAAAAAAAACATTAGCTGGGTGTAGTTCCAGCTACTTGGAAGGCTGAGGCGGAAGGATCACTTGAGCCCAGCAGGTCAAGGCTGTGGTGGTCATGAGTGTGCCACTGCACTCCAGCCGGTGACAGAGTAAGATTCTGACTCAAAAATATATATATATAAATAAATAAATAAATAAAATATATTCATTCATCCCACTATTTGAGGGTTCATTTAGTCTGTTTCCCATTTTTTCTCAGGTAGAACCAATGCTGTGTTAAATGTCCTTATTTTTAAGAACATTACTATTTGTGAATATTGTCCATATCTAAATCTTTTTTAGAATAAAAAAATGAAATTACTGGGTCAAATGGTATACATTTTTTTTGTGTGTGTGTGTCGGAGTCTCACTCTGTTGCCCAGACTGGAGTGCAGTGGCCACTCCCGGCTACCGCGGCCTCGACCTGCTGGGCTCCAGTGATCCTTCTGCCTCAGCCTTCCGAGTAGCTGGAACTACAGGCGCACACCACCACGCCCAGCTGATTTTTTGATTTGTTGTAGAGATGAGGTCTCGCCAAGTTGCCCAGGCGGGTCGCGAACCTGTGGGCTCAGGCAATCCACTCACCTCGGCCTCCCAAAGCACGGGATTACAGGCTGAGCCACCGAGCCCGGCCAAGAAAAACTTTTATTAACCATGTCAGCCTTCGATTTTATGACTTACTGCATGCTTTGGAAGTGCCTCTCAGTCAAGTATTATCAAAATGCTCTCCAGCACTATAGAAAAGCTACCTGTCTGTGAGTTAATACCTAACCTATGTGGAGTTTAAATGGATATAATTTACCACTAGGGTTGAGACACTGAGCTATATGTCACGGCGATTTAGCTGTGTTTCCCCCTCACGTGGCCAGCACATGAACACAGGGTGCCTCAGGGTGGCTGGCACATCGGCGTGTCTCCAAGTTACCTACAGCATGCTCTGGGAGCTGGGCCGGATGCTGTCTCAGTTGTACAGCCACGCACTCTTTACGGTCACAGAGGGAGTCAGGGGTGCTGTCGGTGCCGTCCTCCCCGAAGTCGGGAGCACTGCCATCCTCGACTTCTGCCTCATCTAACACACTGATGTCCATCATATCGATATTCTGCAAGTTCTCCAGACTTGCGTCCATGTCCTCCTGAAAAGAGGAAGAAGCAGCATAAATGATCAGGGGACCAGAGCGTGGAGTCTCTGCTGCTGTCTTCGGTGTAATGCTACGTACCTGCCCGTCTCTGGAATCTTCTTCCAGGCCATTATCTTCTGTGCCTTCCTCCTCCATCTTTTGCCCTAATTACAGAATAATCGTTCAGTCAGAGAACACTCAAGTTCTAGCCTCATCATTAGTTTATGCAGATTAACAGGTCTCAATCTTAGTTAGAACAAGCGATAAGAAAAACGAAAAGAAATGTCCATTCTTCTCTCACGTGTATTTTTATCACAACTGGTGTTCTACGCAAGCCATTAATCAACAGGGACACGAAAATCTAGAATTCCTGTCATAGTATTAAAGTATTTTGATTTTTCCACAAAGTATCTAAAGGCTTTCCGAGATTTCGAAAACCCTCCAAAACATCACAAAAGAAATATAAGCAAAGGTTAGAAACAGGCATTTTCAACGGACAACAAAAAACTGCACCGCCCGTCTAGAAATCAAACAACTGCAACCTGACATCACATATGGAATTCATCACCTGCCAGTTCTCCCCATATCCCACTCATTTCAAGCAGGTCTCTGTCAGTCCTCAGCTTAAGAACTTTTTGCAAGGCAAAACGGCAAAGGCTGCCATAAAGTCAATGGTCATCCTGAATTTTATGACCACAAAAGACCTATTTGACAGAATTATGTTAGATGTTTTCAAAGGGGCTGGACGGGACAAGAGTAAGAACCTGTAGACTTCAAAGAGAAGAAAAAACTTGGGGTTCCGTGTGGATCCACCACCTTAAAAATGTCCACACCCTTTGTTCCAGGAATTCTACTCCTGAAATGTGCACTAAAATGTCTGGTAAGGAACTCAAAACACAGGTACCTATTCTATCCAGAAAGTGTAGATACCTCAACATCGGAAAGGGAAACAAACTACAGCACGTCATGTCTTCATTCATGAGAAGCACGGTGGGGTGTGGTCTGGCACCATGGTGGCAAGTGGCAAGGGACACTGCTTGTGACGCTCTGATGAGCAGGACACTGCCCTACTGCAGAGAACTGCTCGGCCCCAACTGTCAACAGGGCCAAGGCTGAGAAACCCCATGAGAAACCATCCCATGCCCTGCAATGTTTAAAAAAACTCTTGCTTTTCAAGGATATTTAGGGATACGCACACAAAAAATGCCCACAAACCCACAGAAAAAAAACCGACTCTTACAAAAAGTACATGTCTGTGCAGTCGCATGTGTGAGGATGTGTTTCTAAAATATACAGGCAGATAAGGCTACAACTGTCAATAGTGCAAGATAAGAAATATTTTTATTTTGACGTGCATACGTTTTTCCAAAGTATCATTTTGGTAAGTTTTTATTTTCTGTTTTTTTTTTTTTGAGCTGGAGTCTCACTCTGTCACCCAGACTGGCTGCTCCTGGCTACTGCAGCCACAACCTGCTGGGCTCTAGTGATCCTTCCGCCTCCGCCTTCCAAGGAGCTGGAACTACAGGCGTGCACTACCACACTCGGCTAATTTTTTTGATTTATTGCAGAGATGAGGTCTCGCCAAGTTGCCCAGGTGGGCCTCGAACCCGCGGGCTCAGACAATCCACTCACCTCAGCCTTCCAAAGGTGCGGGATTATAGGCTGAGCCCCCGAGCCTGGCCACTAAGTTTTTAAAATAAGAAAATTAGACATACAAAAACCTCAACGTCTGATTAAGATCCCATCTGTGGTGTCTACACCTTAAGAATCCTGTTCACCACAGTTCCCAACCATAAATCAAGGACACGCCATTTCATTATGTGTCAGGCAGCGGGAGCTTTCGACTCTATTCAGCGCGTCCAGCAACGCCAGCAGGTTTCATGATCTGTATTTGACATGTGAGAATCTGGTTCAGCTCCAAAGCCGGAACTGAAAAACTTAGCCATCCCAGTTCCCATCAAGTCTAAACATGGCACATCCTGAAATGCACTAAAAATGCTTGGTGATTGCACCCAATTTCTAGGTCTCTAAATAGGAGCCTGCAGTGGCCGCAGAGGATGGAAATGGGAGATGTAGACATGAGCGTCACTGAAATCTCACGCCATGCAACAAGCAGCACTGCCGCGGGCCCAACCCCGTCCTGTCCTTGACCAAGAAGAACCAACGGCGTGGGAGACACAGATCTAAGCAAACCCAGCCTCAACCCCCCAGCTAGCTCAAACTGTGACACTGTTGACCAAAATGTTAATATTTCTATTTTTTTTTGAGGTGGAGTCTCACTCTGTCGTCCAGACGAGTGCAGTGGCCACTCCCGGCCACTGCAGCCTCGACCTGCTGGGCTCCGGCGATCCTTCTGCCTCAGCCTTCCGAGTAGCTGGAATTACAGACACGTGCTACCACGCCCGGCTGATTTTTGATTTATTGTAGAGAGGAGGTCTTGCCAAGCTGCCCAGGCGGGTCTCAAACCCGTGGGCTCAGGCAATCCACTCACCTCAGCCTCCCAAAGCGCGGAATTACAGGCTGAGTCACCGAGCCCAGCTCATGTTAATATTTCAAAGCTCAATGGCAAGTTTTCCAATAATGCAGCCTGCCAGACGAGTTAGGACTCTGTCTCAAGTTCAGCTCCTTCTTATTTTTGAAAGGAGGCAGTTACTAGTGAGTCCCCAGTAAGTCCGGCTTGGAACTAATGAAACTAACTGATGCTGTGAGCACAGTGTCTGGAAATGCAGTAGCTCAATTCCTCCTGATCTCACCTATATGTAACCACTGCACCTAATTTCAGCCACGAAGCATCAGGATCTAGCACTTCAGGCACTAACCCTGTGCCCAACATCCACCAGAGAGCACCACCAGTTGCAGGCGGAGGAAGGAGATCTCCAGAGAGGGATCAAGGTGGAGGATGGAGAGCAACAGACAGCTCTGGCAGCTCCAGGTGGAAGACTGAGACCTCCAAAGAACACCACCAGCTCAAGGTAGAGGACACAGACTCTCAAGAGAGCACTGCTGGCTCAAGGTGGAGGATGGAGGCCCACAGAGAGCACTACCAGCTCAAGGTGGAGGATGGTGAGCAGCAGATAGCTCTGCCAGCTGCAGGCAGAAGACTGAGACCTCCAGAGAGCACCACCAGCTCAAGGTAGAGGACACAGACCCTCAGAGAACACCATCAGCTCAAGGCGGAAGACAGACCCCTCCAGAGAGCACCGCCAGATCAAGGTGGAGGACAGAAGCACACAAAGTACCGCTGGCTCAGGGTGGAGGTCAGAGACCCATAGAGAGCACTGCCAGTTCAAGGTGGAGGATGGAGAGCAACAGACAGCTCTGGCAGCTCCAGGCGGAAGACTGACACCTCCAGAGAGCAACTAGCTCAAGATAGAGGACACAGACCTCCAGAGAGCACTGCCGGCTCAAGGTGGAGGACAGAGACCTCCAGAGAGCACTATTGGATCAAGGTGGAGGACAAAGACCCACAGAGAGCACTGCTGGCTCAAGGGGGAGGATGGAAACCCACAGAGGAGACCCATAGACAGCACTTGCAGCTCCAGGCGGAAGACCGAGACCTACAAGAACTAAGCTCTGCCTGAGGACCAGGGCTCTCGGGGTTTGACCACTCCTCTGAAGGGACTAGAAGCCCTCTCATGGCCACTACAGCTGAAGCTACTAACTTTCTCTTTATACCAAGGGAAGGAACTACCACCCAAGCTTTCCTGAGTTCCAAAACACGGAGTCCAAGGAGTTTTATTTGGCCTAAGCTTCAACCTGGATATTCAGACAAGTGTTTAAAGCATTCAGCTACAGTTCAGTTTCTCTAATGATGCAAAGACCTCTGTTAAGAGCCAAGGACATTCTATTTTACTTTGAGTTGGAGTCTCACTCCGTCGTCCAGGCTGGAGGGCAGTGGTATGCTCACGGGCACTGCAGCCTCAACCTGCTGGGTTCCAGCAATTCTTCCGCCTCAGTCTTCCAAGTAGCCGGGATTACAGATGCACACTACCACGCCCGGCTACTTTTTTTTTTTATTGCAAAGACGAGGTCTCACCAAGTTGCCTGAGCTGGTCTCGAACCCGTGGGTTCAGGCAATCCACTCCACTCACCGCAGCCTCCCAAAGTGCTGGGATTACAGGCTAAGCCACCGAGCCCCACCAAGCCAAGGACATTCTGAGTAGTAAGTCTTAAACTTCACTGTTTACATTAACCAAAGCTTCACACTTATTGTTAAGTGCCTTTCACAACTACTCAAAAGCAGACTTTCAGGTCTTGGACAACTTAACACCTGAACAGAGGAGATACAGCAGCCTGACTCCAGGAGCAGACCAGCCCAGCACATTATCCATCTGCTCGGACAGTTACAGAAACCACAAAAACTCACCCATGTGTCCAAATTAAATTTTTTTTTTTGAGTTGGAGTCTCACTCTGTCGCCCAGACTGGAGGGCAGTGGCCGCTCCCAGTCACTGCAGCCTCGACCTGCTGGGCTCTGGCGATCCTTCCGCCTCAGCCTTCCGAGTAGCCAGAATTACAGGCACGCACCACCACGCCCGGCTGATTTTTTGATTTATTGTAGAGATGAGGTCTCGCTGCCCAGGTGGGTCTCAAACCCGCGGGCTCAGGCAATCCACTCACCTCAGCCTCCCAAAGGCGTGGGATTACAGGCTGAGCCCCCGAGCCCGGCTCCAAATC